GGGTTAAAAGATGGCTTGTTAAGTTTAACGCTTCCAAAACTAAACTTCTCTCCATTAATCATCTAAGAGACTCCTCTCTGTCTCCAATCAACATGGCTGATGCTAACCTCTAGGAAACTGACTCCTTGCGCCTCCCCGGAATCACGTTCTCGACCGACATGAAATGGAAAGACTATATTGAATCCGTTGCTAGGTCAGCTGCTGAGAAAGTCGGTTCACTGTGTCGGGCGAGACAATTTTTCTCTCCCGAATCTATCTTACATATCTATAAGTCTACCATTCGTCCATGCTTAGAATATTGCTGCCACATATGGTCCAGTGTTCCTGCTATTCACCTGGAGCGCCTTGATAAGACCCAAAGAAGAATCAGCGATATTATTAGTCGTATTCTGGCGGTTTGGCTTCAGTCACTTTCCAACTGACGTAAAGTTGTCTTTCTATGTCTTTTCCATAAATACTTTCATGGTAATTGTTCGGATGTGCTCTTCGCTATAGTACCTTGAGTTTTGAATTTAAGCGCCGTACTAGACTGGCGTCGAGATCTCATCAATTTACAGTTGAGTTGGCTGGATTTAGCCGTAAGTTCTCTGCCGAAGGTTTCTTCTCGCGTTTTTCGTTTGTGGAACTCACTTCAGGCTCCATGTTTTCATGCAAAATTTTAAATGCATTTTTAGTCGCTATCTACCGTCCTCCTGATTACACTTACCTCTTTCTCCTCATCACTTAATGTTTCTCTTCCTAATTCTCCCGCATACTGTAACCCCTTGTGTTTTAATGGCATTACTGCCTTCTATGCGGTGATAACGATTTAAAAAAAAAGACAGGTTGATTATCATAACCATTATTATAACAATTATTATAACCGTTACCATTATCACAACCATTATGATAGCCATTACCATTATCATAATCATTATTATAAACATTACCATTACCATAACAATTATTATAACCGTTACCATTATCATAAATATTATGATAGCCATTACCATTATCATAACCATTATTATAACTATTACCATTAATATAACTATTATTATAACCATTACCATTATAATAAACACTATCATAGCCATTACCATTATCATAACCATTAACATAACCATTACCATTATCATAACCATTATCCTAACCATTATCATAATCATTATTATAACCATTACCATTATTATAACCTTTACCATCATCATAACCATTATGATAGCCATTACCATTATTATAACCATTACCATTATTATAACCGTTACCATTATCATAAACATTATGATAGCCATTACCATTATCGTAACCATTATCAGAACCATTACCATTATTATAACCATTACCATTATCATAGCCATTATTATAACCGTAACATTATCATAACCATTATGATAGACATTACCATTATCATAGCCATTATTATAACCACTACCATTATCATTACCATTATCATAACCATTACAATTATCATAACCATTATCATAACCATTACTATTATCATAACCATTCTTATAACTACTGCCGTTATCAAAACCATTACCATTATCATAACCATTATTATAACCGTTACCAGTTCTATTGATTTATTAACTGATGGTTACAGCTGTCATTTCTGTAATAATTCTTTTAGAACATTGAAACACGAAAGAATGAAAAGTTTTCAGAGCAGCCTACTTCTTAAATTTAGAACTGAAATATTTGCTCTTTCTCGATTACCGGAAGTATTTTGCGTCAAATACTTTTCAGCACGCTCCATGTGTGTCGATATTCTAACCGATTTTGGTGAGATTGACAGCCGTGACCAGCAAAATCAAATGAAATGGCATAGAAAATGTTAATTCAATTTTAGTAATAAATTTTACGTCGCTTAAAAGAAGAACGGTAGAAAACGCTGTTCGAGAAAAAATAATTGTCCGAGAAATATAGACTTGTGATTGAAATTTTGTTGTTCAAAAATGCAACGATGAAAAATCAATGGAAATACAATTTCATCAGCTGATATACCCGCTTTTTAAAAACCTAAATTCAATTGTTGAAATTTAATAAAAAAAATGTTGTACTTTAGTAAATGAATTTGTTTATTAAAATCATTTCTGACGAAATGTTGGCGGACATTTTGGCAGAGTTCAATTTGACAGCGAATAAATTTTGCATATTTTAAAATATAATTTCCTGAGGAATCCACCGTAGTTAAGGCGCGGCAAGCCTGGTCAGTACCAAGATGGGTGTCCTCTTAGAAATACCAGGTGTAGTATACTTGGGTGTGCGGATAGCGTAATGCATCGGTCGGCAACATACGTGGCACGCCAAGAAATTTCTAATACTACAAAGCTGCAAATGTTATCACGATATCCGAACCAATAACTACTACAAAGCAAAGAAGATATTTAGCCGTTTCAATTTTAATATATACTAAAGTATATATACTATATATTACTACAGTAGAACCTCGGTTCACGAATTTAATTCGTTCCTGAAGCACGTTCGTAACCCTAATGTTCGTAAACCGAAACTATTTTTCCAATAGGAATCAATGGAAAATAGATTAATCCGTTCCTCGTTTCAAGGTTGTTGCTTATTTACACTTTTCCAACAGTACTTTATGCACAAAGTTATACACAAAATTCATGAAAATTATTAAATCTAAGAAAAAATAAATAAACCCAAGACGAACCCTTTAATTTTGCCATACCTGTAAGTAGGAGAGCTGATAGCACAAGTGGAAGAGGGAGGGAAAAGATGTTATTGTTTTGAAAAGGGGAAGGAATAGACATTATCGTCTCTTTATTTATAAGAATAGTATAGATGACGTCTCTGCATAGATGCTCCTCGATCTCACGAATATGCCTTATTATCTCATCCTTCAGCTGTTGAATTGTTGTTGGCTTGTTGGCATAGACCTTACTTTTGAGATGACCCCAAAGGAAGAAATCTAAAGGCGTCAAGTCGTACGATCGTGGTGGTCAATTGACTTCGTTGTTTCGAGAGATTATACGATCTGGGAACTTCTCATTCAGATTCTATGTGAACGTCTATTTTCGTAATAGGCATCGAAAACTTTAACACGTTGTTTGATTGTTAATCTTTCCATGGCTGAAATTGCCGAAGATTTAAGTTGTTAAATCTGAAAGAAAAAAAAAAAAAAAACATTAGACGATTAAACTTAATTCACATTTAAAATTGATCCAAGTTATTGGAACACGCTTTATATACTAAAGTTGTTAAATCTAAAAGAAAAAGAAAAAAATTCATTAGACGCTTAAACTTGATTCACATTTAAAATCGATCCAAGTTATTGGAACACGCTTTATATACTAAAGTATATATAATATATATTAATACAGTGGAATGTTGGTTCACGAATTTAATTCGTTTATGAAGCCTGTTGGTATCCATAATCTTCGTAAACCGAAACTATTTTTTCAATAGAAATCAATGTAAATTGGATTAATCCGTTCCTGGTCCCAAGATGATTATTTACACTTTTACAACAATACTTTGTGGACACAAAACCAATGAAAATTATTAAATCTAAGAAAAAATAAATAAACCAAATACTAAATAGATAAAATATAGACGAACACTTTAATTTTACCGTCCCTGTAAGTAGGAGAGTTGATAGCGTAAGTGGAAGGGGAAAGAAAAGAGATGTTATTGTTTGGAAAGGGGGAAGGATCGTCTGTTTATTGATTTTACCAGATGAAAATGGGTAGGAAGAGAATTGTTTTTCTCTAAACTTTTCTTTTTTCTTTTTCCAGTATCACTGGTGGGTCTCTTTGGAGCCATGACGAAGGACTAATAAAAAGAAAAAAAATGAAAAAAAAAAAAAAATGCACAGCATAACACACGAATGTATACAACATGGCGGTCGATTCAGAAATAATTCCGTTCGGGTTAACTCGGTTCGGCAATGTTGTTCGATAACCGGAAGTTAGTTCGATAACCGAGGCATTTTCATCTGGAATTTTCTGTTCGAAAACCGATTTGTCCGACATGTGAGACATTCGAGAAGCGAGGTTGCTTCTTACTAACTTTTAATCTGTTCATATACAGGATGTCCAAAAGAATTAATATCGTTTTGTAGTTTAATAACATGGCCAATTCTTTCACAAATGATCTCAAATTTTAACTTAAAAGGACAAAACTCAATGAGAATCTACCAGAAAGATGGATCGGCGTGCCAGTGATAATGCGCTGTTGAAATGACCTCCACGTTCACACACACACACAAAATACACCAAAAATAGAAGGAGGAATGAAAAGATACGGGGTGGGGGGACATAAAAGATAAGAACAATACTTCCATCTTCTTTTCTCTGACCAAATTCAGTGTAGAGAAAAAAGTCACATTACAATAAAATTGTAAAAGAAAATCACGCTACAAAACACGAATGTATACAATATGGCGGTCGACTCAGAAATAATTCCGTTCGGGTTAACTCGGTTTAGCAATGTTGTTCGATAACCGAAAGTTTGTTCGATAACCGAGGTATTTTCATCTGGAATTTTCTGTTCGAAAACCGATTTGTCCGACATGTGAGACATTCAAGAAGGTTGCTCTGTATGTAAAATATATTTTAGAACAAGTATATTAAACTTCACTTGTAGAAAAATATGCTGTCGGAACACAGACTGATTTTAAAACTCTAAGTCGGCACATACTTGTACTGTACTGTACTGATGCGGCATTCCCCCTGGGCGGATTGAGCTGGCTTCTTCCTGTTATGAGAAGAAGATTCTTAGGATAAATTACAGAAGTAGGGTACCCAGCCCTACTCGGATAACGTTCTTGCTTGCCGCGGGATTCCCACAGACGCAGAGACAGGAACGACCAGAAGCCGCCGGTTACCGATGCAGACGCTCCTTGGATTTTCACCAGAGCCCTTGTTAGCCGGCGTGTGTGTCAGACCTGTCCGCCTTGGGTGGCCCTACCAGGAACGAAGTTCCGGGCGGCATAGCTCTGACACTACCGTTTACACCCCCCCACCGACTGTGAGGTAAGTGTTGGACTTTAGGGGCTTACAGTACCAGGTGTTCCCAAGCGGTCCCCCATCTAAGTACTGACGATGGCTCTTCGGTGATCGAACGAGAACCGGTGTTTTCAGCGTGATTTGACCGTAAGCTGGCACATACTTGGCAAAAGGTTGAATGGATAACTGCTCGGAATTAAAAATCGGAGAGCTTGGTACCAATCCACGTCTACTTCCAAGAGTTAACGGGTTTATGGTCATATCACGTTGAAACAGCGGTTCTCTTATGATCACCGAAGTTAAACAACGTCGAGTTTCATCTACCAAGATGGGTGACTATCGAAATTCCAGGTGCTGTCATGGGTGTAAAGGATAACGGCTAAGATTTAAAAATCAGACGCCAGAGATCCAATTCCAGTCGGGTTCGTTATATTCATCTCACGCGCAAAAGGTAAGAATACAACAGCTTCCCCTCCTTATCTGTGACTTAAGGAATACGATTTGTATCAGTAAATAATTATTATCTCAAAAAAATTCTTTCAAGCTACGTTCGTTTCACCTTTTGGAAGTGATGTCTGATGATCCAGGGAACTTTAAAAGGGCTCTGGTGAAATAAATTATTACAATGGAGCCTTAAAGTGGTTTGTTTTTCTTTAAATTATTAACTCTGAATTTACATTGAGCTCTCGGGATTTCATTCTCCTTGGGACTACCCATACATGATTACCAAGTTGTTCTTAAGTATATATATATATATATATATATATATATATATATATATATATATATATATTCAGATTTAAAAAAATATATATTAAGTCAGGAAAAAAGAACTTTTTAGGTCTTTGCAGTAGTATATATATATATATATATATATATATATATATATATATATATATACGGCGAAGACCTAAAAGTTCCTTTTCAAGTCTGTTTGAATTGAGAAACACACACACACGCAGACATACACACACACACACACACACATATATATATATATATATATATATATATATATAATGCTATGCAAAAGTAAGTGAACCCATAAGATATTATTAAAATAATTTTCATTTTTTACAGATAATCAACAAATCTTAATTAAACTATATATTCATTAAGAAAAAAACATTATTAAATAAATTACAATGGCAATAAATTTTTTTATGAATCTGGAATAAAAATATTAATTAAAAATTAAGATGTTCAAAAGTAAATGAACCTTTACATTTGCACTTTGTACTTTTGTTTTACATGATGGCCAGTACAAATACCATTTTTATGTGTAAAAATCAAAATGACGTGTTCATTTTTTTTTTTTGGTAAGATGTGTATACTGCAGTCAACCAATACAATTCATTGTGTATGCAAAGGGGTGCAGTTAGCGAGGGTTAGATAAAATAACGTATGCCAAGATCAAAAGAACTTCCTGAAGTTTTATAAAATCGCATTTTGAAGTCTATAATCCTGGAGGAGGCTAGAAAAAGCGATCAAAACGATTTGGAATGCATGTCTCTGCAGTGCAAGAAATTATTTATAAATAGAAATCCTTTGGTGTCACGGCATCGCAATCAAGAAATGGCCGCCCGTAAAAAAATAACTGCAAGAACAAGTAGAAATCTAGTTCTGCAAGCTCAGGTGAATTCTGCTGTAACCTCTGCGATTCTCCAAGGCTCTCTGGCAAATGTTGGAATCAATTTGCATACGTTTACAGCGCGCCGAAATCAAAGAGATGCCGGACTTCATGGCTGAATTCCTAGTTAAAAAAAAAAAAAATGACACTTACTACGAAAATAATCGGTTCAGATATGCCAAAGCTCGTAATAATAAGCTAGAAAATTCTGGCAAAAGCTTTTATGGTCAGATGTGATAAAATTAGAGCGTTTTGGATGAACGATAAGCTGTGTGCTTGTAGAGATCTTAATACGGCCTTTGAAGAGAAGAATTTGGTGCCAATAGAAAAACATGGCGGCAGTAGCATTATGATTTATGAGTATTTTCTTGCAGCCGGAACAGGCAAAAAAGTACCCATTGACGGCACAATGGACTCTGCAAGATACCAAGCAATTTTGTAGGAAAGTGTCTTGCCTTCGGTTCGAAAGATGGGTTTAAGTTGGGCCTTTGTCTTTCAACAGGACAATGATCTAAGGTATGAAAGCAAATCCACAAGAGAATTAGTACGATAAAAAATAAAATTTACATCTTGGAATGGCCTAGAAAAAATCCTGATCTCAGGCCAATTGAAAACCTGTGGTTCAAGTTAAAGAGGAAGTACATGGAAGAATCCAAGGCAATATCGAGCAATTATGATAATTTTACCAAGAAGAAAGGCCAAAAATTGACGCTCCCTTCTGCCAGAAACTTACTAATTATAAAAAAAAGACTGAGGGACGTTGTGACCTCATAAGGAAGAATCACCAAATATTAAATGTAAGGGTTCAGAAATATAATTTTAAGTGTTGCTATATTTATGGGATAAAGTGGTCAGTATCAGAGATAGAGCGTATGTAAATATAAAAGGGAACATTGAAATCAACACTCAAAGGCGATAGGCTCTTTCATGATAGACGCAGTCGTCAGGCCGCAAGTGTTGGATTTTTTCTCGATTATATATATGTGTCAGTGGTGAATTTTGAGTAGTCCATTCTGGCAGTTATTTTGGCAGGCGTGACTTATTTATTTATTTATTTGTTTGGATTAATTTATTTGTTTTTCTCATTTTCATTTTTTTATTTTATATATGTATTTATTTTCGGTTTTTGATGTTTTATTAAGGCAGTAAAATTTTTCCTTTTTTTTCACTTATTTGATTTGTTTTAGTAGTAATTAAACCTATTCATTCGTCCAGTTTTTGGATTGATTGTTATAGTCTATTCTGTTATTTTGGCGAGTGGGGAAACGTTTTTAATCTATTTATTATTTGATTTGTTTATTTGAATTGATTATTTTTACTTGTTTTTGCTTATCTATTTTTACTTTCATTAGTTTAATGGTTATTTTAGAGGAGCGGTTTGTTAATTTGAAAACAGCCTGTCGCCTCTGAGTGTTGATTTCAACGTTTACTTATATATATATATATATATATATATATATATATATATATATACTAATTATTATTATGCTGTCCTCATCTTTATTGTCACATTTACGATGTTTCGGCCATTTCACGCTCATTCTTCAGGTGATATACGTTTGGATTTCGAATCGAATCCTTTATTTAATCCATGGGGAGGGGTAGATTGTTCTAGTTCCAGCCCACTTCGTAGTTCCAGTTATTTCCTTTAGTAACACAACTCTCAAGTTTTTGTTCATATCTGCTATGGCCAGGTATTGAACTCACAACTTTTTCAATTCAGTGGATTACTCCTATCAATTCTTTTTATCTGCACGGCCATATCGCGAATATATATATATATATATATATATATATATATATATATATATATATATATTAAAAAAAAACAGACCACTTTAAGGTACCATTATAATAATTTATTTCACCAGAGTCCTTTTAAAGGACGCCAGATCATCAGATTGCACTTCCAAAAATGAAACGAAAAATGAAATCAAAATTGATGGGTAGTGTAAGTTTTTGTAATTTAACAGAGAGTGTAAAAGAAGTAGTTAAAGAGACATGGTAGAGTATAGGGAGGGATTAATTTCATATCTCTCTCAAGCATACTTTATATTGGAGGAGGAGGAGTGACCAGACCGTGACCTATTTAGACGGTTAGCTTAACGGAAGTGATATATTGAAATGGGAGGGGAGAAGAGAGAAAAGAAAAACGAAAAAGGAAAAAGAAAGAAGGGGGAAGTAAAGAGAAGGAGGCTGTAAATGGGTTTTATATATAAAGAAGAGGGGTGGTAAGTTTTAGCAATTTATGTAAAAAATAGATTTTAATGTTTGATAGTAATTTAGATGTCTAAAATAAACCACGAAGAAATTAATTTGATGCTTGCTAGCAATTTAAATATTTAACTTTTTTACAAATAATTTAGGGATTTAATATACGTTAAATACCGTATTTATCAACACATTCATAGAGAACGCATTTAAAAAACAAATTAAAACTATAACAGTTTGTTTACCCGACCAATAGTACTCTTTTAATATTGTAAAAGCCAGTTAAGGTATATATATATATAATTTCTTTCTATGCGCGGCAGCAATCAAAGAGTAGGTGTTTCTGGTTAGTTAACGCAATTATCAAAATTCTCGCCTAAGATTTTTAGGTGCCGGTCTATCGTGAGATTGGACATGGAAATGTCTTCTCGGGCATAAAGCGGACGCAATCATCAAGTAGCTGAAGGCCAAACTGGGCGCCCAAGTTGCGATAAACGAGCGAATCTACAATTAATGCTTCGTTATGTAACGTATCAGGTATGAGTAAATTAGCCCCAGAGCTTATTCTTTCATCGAGATTTTGGCGGGAAAATTAGCTGTGTGAGCGAAATGAAATTGAACACACACACACACACATTTATATATACAGTGTAACCCGGATATAAGAGAAAATCGGATATAAGAGAGATTTTCTCTGGTCCCAAATTAGAGCCATACTTACCTAAACAAAATAGACCAAACCCGGATATAAGAGAAACCCGGATATAAGAGAAACCCGAATATAAGAGACTTCTTCTTCTGTCCCGACAATTCTCTTATATCCGGGTTACACTGTATATATATATCAGTTTCATCCAATTTTTCTTGTATACGTATAACTGTTTTGTTTTCTGGATATAAAGTGTTTACAAACTGTCCGAATGTCCCAGCGCTTTCGGCTATTCTATTAGCCATTATCAAGGATGTGTTTTTTTTTGTTTTTTTTTTTTAAATTTTTTACTGAATGTATACACTATTAATATATATGTATCTAGATCAGTGGTTTCCAACTGATTTGGGGCTATGCTCCACTTTGGTATTTTTAAAATCCTGGTGCCACCTCTGTAATATTTAATTCTTACATATTCAATATTTTACTGCAATTCACGTAAAGGAAGCTTAAAATTCCATTAACTTCGTCTCTAAACAAGCCTCCAAAGACCATGGCGTCTATGAAAGAGAAAAATTAAAAAGAAAACAAAAAGACGGCTAAATATCTATCTCTATCTATCTATTATCTATATTTCTATGTTGTCTGTCTGTGTGTGTCT